AGACCATGTGTCCTGCCTCGGGCCCTCTCTGCTCCCAGACTGGTACAGAGGCGTGTGTGGCTCTTCTCTCTGAGCCCTGCTTTCTTGGGAAGTTGGAAGGCTCGTCTTTTGTTCCAAGCTGCCCTTCGACCCTTCCACGATCGCGCCACGCCAGACCACTGGAGGCTGGCCACTCAGCCCGGCTCTCCTGGATGGACACCCCTCCCTTGAGGCTGCAGTTCCTGCAGAAGCCCAGGGCCCTGGAGATGGGGCCTGCAGCCTCACTGTGCCAGCCCCACTCTGCCGCCTGGGCTGCCCCCACCCCAGCGTGCCCCCAATCCTTGCTGTAGTCAGAGCCCAGTGTGAGTCTGTCTGGCTTCCAGGAACCCGAGAGGCAGGATAACTGGGTGGCCCAGCTTGTCCAGGACACTTCCTGTTGGCACATGTGAAGCCCCAGGTCCCAGGCAAGCTGGGGCCGTCAACACCTCCTTGAGGGTTTCCAGAGCAGCGTCCCCTGTTCCTCCTCTTCTCTGCTCACGGGGGGACATGGCCATCACACAGTGTACCCCAGCGGTTGTCTGAGGGCCCCAGGGTCTCCGGTCTGCAGGCCTCTGGCCTGGACGCCGCCTCCAGCGGCCTATGCACCATGCTTCCCCATCAAAGCTGTCTTCCGCTCTCAGCTGTAGCCATCGGCCCGCAAGAGCCCCTGGAGTGAGTGACCCCCACCCCCACCGCGTGGGCCCCTGCGCCCCAGCACTGGGCCGAGGTGGGGCAGCGCCAGCGGGTGAGAGCTGGGGCTCCAGGCCTCTGTGGCCCTGCCTCTGCCTGAACCCTGGGTCCAGGGGGCCCCGCATCACGAGAGGTCAGCAGAGAAGCCCCCAGCGGCTAGCAGCGCCTCCTCTGGGGATGTGGCCGGGTCCATTCCCGAAGGCTCAGTCCTAGGACCCCGCCCACAGGGGAGTCAGAACCCACACGAGGCCCAGCCCCTGCCCCTCCTCCAAGAAGTCCCTGCCCAGACTGCAGTCCCCAAAGTCTATGTCACAGACCAGTCTGGAAGGTTCCTTGGCACCTCGGCTGGGAGAGTCAGCTCTCCTGAAGACCTGCCCCCAGCCTGGATCCTGCTCCAGCCAAAACCTCCTTGGCTTCCCTGAAGAGGTGACGTTGAGGTGAGCCCTTGGCGAACAGGAAGAGTAATCGGCACAGTTGCACGAGGCCCCCATCAGCCCCTTCCTGGGTTTGTCCCTCTCAGAGCTGTTGTTCAGTCGCTCAATTGTGCCCGACTCTTTGTGATTCCATGGACTACAGCATGCCAGGCTTCCATGTCCTTCAATATCTCCCAGAGTTTGCTCAAACTCATGTCCATTGAGTCGGTGATGCCATCCAACCATCTCATCCTCTGTCGTCCGCTTCTCCCCCTGCCTTCAATCTTTCCCAGAATCAGGGTCTTTTCAAATGAGTCAACTCTTTGCATCAGGTGGCCAAAGGATTGGAGCTTCACCTTCAGCCTCAGTTCTTCCAATGAATATTCTGGGTTGATCACCTGCAGGATTGACTGATTTGATCTCCATGCTGTCCAAGGGACTCTCAAGAGTCTCCTCCAGCACCACAGTTCGAAAGCATCAATTCTTCAGCGCTCAGCCTTCTTTATGGCCCATTTCTCACATCCATGCATGACCACTGGGAAGACGCAGCTTTGACTATAGGGACTCTTACTGGCAAAGTGATGTCCCTGCTTTTTAATACACTGTCTAGATTTGTCATAGCTTTCCTTCTAAGAAGCAAGCATCTTTTAATCTCATGGCTTCAGTCACCATCTGCAATGATTTGGGAGCCCGAGAAAATAAAATCTATCACTGCTTCCACTTTTTCCCCTTCTGTTTGCCGTGAAGTGATGGGACAGATGCCATGATCTTTGGTTTTTTTTAATGTTGAGTTTTAAGCCGGCTTTTCACGCTTCCAGCGTCAGGGCCCTAAATACTGTCCTGATGCAGGAGACATGCTATCGCACCTCCGGCTCAGACACCACCTCCTGCACCTGTGTGTGAGCCAGGACTCCACCCCCTCGAGCACTGAGCCCCAGAAGGTGCTCCCCTCCAGACCCCGCCCCCCGCACACACCCTGGCTCCTTCTCAGCTCACGGCCACCACCCAGACACCCCGCCAGCTCCTCCTTCCCTGGATTTGCAGACTCTCGTCCTCCATCACCACCTCCTATCTGAGTCCGCGGGCACCTCCTCGGGACTGCAGACACGCCTCTGACCAGCCTGCCCCCTGCGGTCAGCACATCGGCTGGAGGTCCTTCCAGAAGCGGCGGGCTTGGAACCCGGGCTCCACGGTAGTCAGGGCAAGCGGTGCAGCACCTCCTTGCGTGACCTGAACACTGGGTGTGCTCTGCCCTCTCCCACACACGCAGACACACGTGCACACACACCTGCCCGCACACGCCCGCCTCACCACCATCACAGGCAGCGGGTGTGTGGCAGGGGCCCCTCCAGGTCACCTTCAGGACTCTGCAGAGGTGTCACCTCCTCTGAGAAGCCCTCCTCCCCAGCTCCGCTCAGATCTGGCTGGGAGGCTGTGACTGCTCTGGGGGTGGGGAGCAGGTCCACAGGAAGTGCAGTTGCCCAGCGAAGTGAATGGATTTCCCAGCTCCCTCGGGACCAGGAAGCTCCCTGCCCACAGAGCCTATTGTGACGAATACTCAGGCTGGATCTGATTGCCTCTGCTCCAGCCAGCCCCGCGCCACCCGTGGGTCCTGTGTGCCGCAGGAGGAAGGGAGAGGTGAGTGAGCAGCCCCTTCCTGCCCACCCCTTGCCTTTGGACTCCAGTCTGCCACCATCACAGGCCCACTCTGGGAGAGAGGGCATGAGCCACTTGGCCTGAGGCCTGAGGCATGAGGGCCCTCCCAGAAAGAACTCTCAGCAGGCCTGGACCTCCCCCGACTCCACGCTTAACTTCCGGACTTTGGCCTGTCTCCTTGGGCACTGTGGCTTCCCAGGCGGTACGGCAGTAAAAAGCCCACCTGCAGTGTGGGAGACACAGGTGATGTGGGTTCCATCCCTGGGTCGGGAAGATCCCCTGGAGGAGGGCATGGCAACCCACTCCAGGATTCATGCCTGGAGCATCCCATGGACAGAGGGGCCTGGCGGGCTACTGTCCGTGGGGTCACAAGGACACAACTGAACACTCACACACACACACGCCCACACATGCCCACACAGACAGAGAGGGCTCCTGGGCTGCCTGCCCCACCTGTCTCAGGCTCCTGGTCCCTGCAGTTGAGAGCGGACTGAGCTGAGGCTAACACATGGCAGAGACTTTGGTTTTGACGTTGGCCTGGCTCTGAGCTGCAGGCAGGTCGAGGGCGGCAGAGTCCTGCGTGGGCCTCTGCTCATTTATCTGGGAAACTGTGGCCCGAGAGGGAGTCTGCGTGCTCCCCGGGGCTCCATCAGGGCCTCTGGGTGACTGCAAGGGGGCACGAGCTAGTCCCCCGGAAGGACAGCTTGAAGCCAGGCGGACCTGCATACCTTGGGGTTCTGATGGCCCTGACCAAGCTGGTGGGTGCACCACAGTGTGAGAGTGGGGAGAATCAGCATCTCAGTAACTGCGGGGGAAGTGGGTCCAAGAGCGGCTCCCAGGAGGCATCTGTCTCCCTGCCCCGCTCTGGCTCTCTGCAGACCCCAGAGAGCCAGGCATTGCCCTCCATCTCCATCTTCTGGCACCTCTTCCCGTCCCATCCTTCATCGCAGCCCCTCTCCTACCTCCCTCCGCCCCATCCTGCCCACCCGAAACCTAGACTGGATACCCAGAGCTGCTCCAGCGGTCTGAGCTCCCGCCTCCCCCTGCAGACCCGGGAGAAAAGCAGGAGGGGGCAGGTCCGGGCCTCGGGGCGGAGCGGTGCCCGCCGGGGGCGTGTCGGGCTTGGCCAATGAGAGCACGGAGGTCGCGGGCGGGGGCGGGGTGTCCCGGTTGGCCTCGGGGGCAGGGAACTACCCCGGGAGGGCAGGTGTCCCAGGGCACCCTGAGTAGGCGGGGACCTGAGCCCAGCCCCGGAAGGGCAGGCAGGCCGGAGCTCACCCCACGAGGGCTCACCTCGCCAGGACGGTGCCCAAGCCGATCCCTGGGAAGGCAGGTACTGAGCTCCCTCCAGCACCCCTGCCAGCCAGGAGCACCTGGGACCTGCCACTCTCACCCTCTGCCCTGCTCCCTGCAAGTTCCCTGCGCCCCGGGGTGGGAAGTCTGGGCACAGCCCCAGGTCCCTCCTCGGTGTCACACCCCCTCCCCGCCCCCGGGTCTGGGTTCTGAAGGCTACCCTTGGGCCCAACAGTGCAGGTGGGTGTTCATTTGGCAAAACCTGGTGGAGGCCTCCATGGAACCGCAGAGTCTGGCTACGGCAGGTGGGGGCTGTGGGGAGCGGACAGGGCCTGCGTCCCCTGCCTGGGGGGCCTGGGGGGCCTGGAAGGCTGAGCTGCCTCTCCAGCCCACCCCCAGCTGCTCCAAAAGTCCCTCTGGCCTGGTGGAGGAGCTGGGCAAACTAGGCCGTCGGCTGAGAAGCGCTCCACAGGGGCGGTGGAAGCCGAGCCCTGTGGACCTAAAGACCCGCCCGACACACACACACACACACACACACACACACACACACACACACGGGAGTCACCTACCTGAGATGCGGTCAGTGACCACTCTGGCCTCAGTTTCCATCTCAAAGTCAGGCCCCGAGCACAGCCCACGCTGGTTCCATGGTGGCCGTGTGCCCAGAGCCTCAGAGTCGGCCCTCGAGGAGGGGAGGGACACTTGATCTCCAAGAGCAAGACCAGCCCAAGGTCACTCCCCAGCAAGAGGCTGGAGAGCCCTGCTGAGAGTCCAGCACCCCGACCTCTCCCCTGGGCCTTCTGGGTGCCGCCCGCCTCCCGCCCCATGACTCAGCACCCTCGCCCAGCTCGGGAGGACTTTTGCTCCCTGCCCGCTCCTGCAGCCTCCCATTCTTATCCCAGCAGGGTCTCCCAGCAACACCTGCCCAGCATGCAGAAAGTCGGGGCCCCCGGGGGCCAGGGCCAGGCCCGCAGCAGGAGGGGCGCCCTGGGCCGCTCGGGGGTCGTGCTGCTCACGTACGTGCTGGCAGCCCTGGAGCTCACCTGCCTCTTCTTGCAATTCTCTAGTATGCCCGTGAGTACCCTTCCCCAGGCCGCCCGGCCCGCCCCCTCACCTTCCTCCCCGCTCCGGCGGGGCCCGCGGTCCGGCCTGATGCTGCCCCGGGCTCCTCTCGCTGGGGGCCCCTTGCTGCGCTGGAGCTAAGCCAGTTGAGGCGCCCGGGGACTGTGCCTCTGGGCCCCCCATCAGCAAGTCCTGGCTCTGCTGCTCCCGCCCCAGCTCGGGGCCTTGGCCCTCTTCACCCACCAGCCCAACACCCGGGCGGCTCACTTCCTAGTCCCGCTCAGCCCCCCTCCGCAGATCTCCTCCACAGCGCGGCCCTCCCCCAGCACCTGCCAGGTACCCGAAGTCACTTCCCCTCCAGTCCTGGTTGGTCCGGCCTCGTGAGGCTTGCCCACACCCCGCACTGCATGTCATGGTCTTGGATCGCTTCTGTCTCCCCAACCAGGATGTGAGGGCAGGACTAATCGGGCTGGTTCTCTGCTGCCTGCCCTGGTCTGGACTCTGCCTGGCCCCCAGCAGCCCCTGGGTTCCTGTGGCCCCCATGGCTCGCTGGTGCCCACCCACCCGTCATCCTCCCCCGTGCACTCCTGTCTGTTCATTCCACACCCCGGTGTGCAGCTGGCCTGCTGGGACTCGCCCTCCTGGGGCAGCAGCTCCCAGTGGACTTTGGAAGACTGGAGCCCCAGAGGTCCTTGTCTGCCTGGTCTGGGTGGGACCATGGTCCTAGCCACTGGCCGCTTTTAAAAGTTCCCCAGGAGATTCTCATAAGCAGCCTGGGCCTGGGGATCTGGGTGGGAGGGGTATGGCCTTTGTCACAAGTCCAGCCATGGCAGGGGTCCCTGGCCAAACAGTGAGCCCAGCTCACTACCTCCCAAGCCCGGCTCACCTCCACCGGGCTGGTCCAAGCCCTGCATCCCCTCCTTGGCAGCCAAGGGGCCCGAGCAGGTGCCCCACTCACTGCCCTTCAGAGATCCGGTGCCGGAGTGATGAGTGAACATGAAATCTTGAGGACTCAGGGCACGGAGCGGCTCCCAGCGCCACCTCCCCTCCCACCGGCTCTCCCGGGCGGCGGGGGGGCATGTGTCTGCTCCACAAATGCTCACAGGTATGCCGAGCGCCTGTCCTCAGAGCTCAGAATACTGCAGAGCACAACGTGGACTAGACCACGGGCACCCCACAGCTGGTGGTCCTGAGCGTAGGTGACACCCACTAACCGTGAACAATGGGTAGCTAGACTGTGCTGCAGGAGGGGCCCTGGGGTGCTGAGGAGTGTGGCGGGTTTGGGGTCAGTAGGGCCTCCCCAAGAAGGCGACCGTGTACAAAGCCTTAAAGGAGACATGGGAGTGGGCTGGCCAGTGCAAAGGCCCTGGGGCAGCCGTGGGACCAGCGCTGGAGGGGAGAAGGCACCAAAGCCAGGAGGGGCTGCAGGGACTCCAGGGGTGGAAGCACCAGCAGGAGCTGGCCTTAGAGGAAAACCGGGAGTCAGTTCTGAACGTGCTGAGGTCCAGGGGCTTTTAGACATCGAGTGCTGAGCCAGGGCAAAATGGGCTCTGCCCTCACACATTCGAGGTGTATCCCGAAGAAAGGAAGGGGGGCCAGCAGCTGCCTTCACCGAGTTCCGAGTCCCTGGAGCCTGGACCCAGAGGTCCTGTCAGGCTCCCTGCTATGATATAAGCAGCTGAGTCCAGGGTCACAGGTCACCCCAGATGCATCGTGGAGCAGTCAGAGTCAGACCCTTGTTTCCCTCACAGAGGATTCCCTGCTCAGAGCTACCCTTCCTCCGCCTTCCCGCCAAGGGCCCCGGATCACAGGTGCTGGGGTCCTTCCAGGCCCCTCCCAGCGACCCCTCCTGTGTTCCAGTACCTGTCCCGGAGGCTGGGCCTGGACTCCGTGGCCTTTGGCTACCAGCAGACTATGTTTGGCGTGCTGCAGCTGCTGGGCGGGCCTGTGTTCGGCAGGTACGGCGGGGTGGGGAAGCTTGGGGGCCCTCGTCCCATGACGACCCAGGCCTGCCCCTGGGAGGTCACGGCCTGGGTGACGCCAGGTTCCCGGACCTCACACAGGGCCACACCAGAGGGATGGCAGCCCCTGAGGCACGGATGAACTCTGACCCTTTGTTGTTCCGTGGCTCAGTCGTATCTGACTCTTTGCGACGCTCACCATCTCCTGGAGCTTGCTCAAATTCTGTCCCTCTAGTGCTGGGTTAAGCCCCTGCTCCCAGGGTGTCCCGACACATAACCGCCACTAATTCTGGTTTGTGGCTGGAGAGAGGATGGAACTGGCGAGGCTCTCGTGGCTCTAAAGGCCCTGCCCTGCTGAGCTGGGGGGTTCCACCAGCAACTTTTCTGGAAAAGAGAATTCTGGGGACTGGGACTCCCACTAGTCTTCGTGCTCTGGGGGCGCTGGGCTCACCCTCCTACAAACCCTGCCGTGGACAGATCAGCGTGGCAGGAGTCAGATCTGAGTCACTCCATGGGGGCAAAGGGGCTCCAGACCCAGTAACACAGGACAGAGCAGGGGTCCTGGGGGTGCGGGGTGTTCCCCACTTGAGCCCGGGAAGAGCTTTCTGTACAGCCTGCCCACGCCCTCAGCCCCTTTGCATCCCGCAAGCCAGTCACTAGGAGCGGGAGTGACCAAGTGGGTCAGCCTCCCCAAGGCCCCTGAAGACTGCCGGCCGCGTGGGAAGGGTGGAGAAGAGGGCGGCGGCGACCCGGGCCCTCCCGCACCCACACAGCACCCGGACCTCCCTGCGGCCCAGCTCCCCAGCTGTCCGGAGGGGCGGGTGTGGGGAAGAAGAGGGGCACCCTGCCCCCTGCCGGCGAGGTCATGGGTGTGGGCCCCCCAGGTTCGCCGACCAGCATGGGGCGCGCGCAGCCTTCACGCTGTCCTTCCTGGCCTCGTCCACCCTCTACCTGCTCCTCGCGGCCGCCTGCATCCCGGCCCTGCCGGGCGTGGCCCTGCTCTTCGCCTCGCGCCTGCCGGGTGCGCTCATGCACACGCTGCCAGGTAGGGCGCCCTCGGCAACAGGTCCCAGTTGCGGGGGTCCAGGGCTGGACTGCTGGGGGTGGGAGTGGGGGGCTTCGTGTGGGCGTGGCCTGAGCCGGGGGCGGGGCAGACGCCATCCCCAGGGGCCCTGGACGTGGATGGAGGGGTGATGTACGGGATGGGCTGTGCCTCCACGGTTCTGGGAGGAGGGGGTGGGGAGCACGCGGCCTGGGGACAAGTCGGGGTGCAGCTGGTGACATGGGGGGTGATAGGGAGGGGGCAGGTCCGAGGAGAGATGGGGCGTCGGGGCGTGGCCTGTAGGGAGCGGGGTGCGGTGGGGAGGCGTGGCCTGGGCTCGTGAGGGGTCCGCGCGGCTCAGCTCTCGTCCCACCTGCCAGCTGCCCAGATGGTCATCGCGGACCTGTCCACACCTGAGGAGCGGCCCGCGGCGCTGGGCCGGCTGGGCCTGTGCTTCGGTGTCGGTCTCATCTTTGGCCCCCTGCTCAGTGGAACCCTGAGCAGCTCATGCGGGTGAGTGTCCGGGACACGGCCCGGCTAGGGTTGGGGTTGGCCAGCCAGGCGGGGTGTGGGTACCAGGCCGGACGAACAAGGATGAGACGGCTCTGTGCCGCCCAGGCCCTCAGCCCGGCCCCGCCGCCTCTCCGGGCCTTGGTTTCCCCATGGGCACCCTGACCCGGTGGGTCCACGGGAGGGGAGCCGGCTGGAACCTCCGGGTGGGCCTGGGGATCCGGGGGCGTGGCCTATGGGTGGGCGGGGTCCGAAAGGCTTAGACAAGCGAGTGCCCACTTGAAATGAACACCCGTACAGCACGTGGATTCCTCAAATGTCAGGCAGGAGGACTTCCGGGAGGCAAAGAGGACATAGGTGACGGGAGAAGGCCTGTGAGGCTGGCGACGACCGAGCGGGGGTGGGCAGCGCGTCAGGCCGTGGAGCCCTGAAGCAGGGGCAGGGGGTGACCTGGATGCTGTGTCGAGATTGTGGGGGCCGGGGCCAAGGCAGGGAGACCAGAGGTGGGGACTGACCCGATCCAGGCGGGAGAGAACGGCGGCTGGACCAGGGGCAGCCGTGGTGGGCAGAGGGCAGTGGCGGGATCTGGCTTGGTTTTGCTGATGGCTGGAGTGTAAGTGTGAACACAAGGCCGTGCATGGACTCGGGCTGGGCCTGGGGGAGCCGTGGGCCTCGCTGAGGTCCCTGCTTCCCGGGCTACCCGCAAGAGTTGGGTCCCCACCAGGGTGAGTCTGGTGCCCGGTAGACGCATGAAGGAGTTCCCGAGTGGGCTGAGCGGGGGTCTGAGCTGGAGGAGAATGGGGCCGTGCTCTCAAGTGGGGAGTTTCTAAGCCCTGGGAACTGCTCCAGAGGAGGGCTGGGGCCCAGCACTTACTTGGTGTTAGAAGCCTGGGATTAAGAAAAATCACCTGGGGGACCCAAAGAGATGAGATTCAGGGGGGTGTCCAGGCGTGAGGGTCAAGGACGGGACCCGCCACCTGCGACTGCGGACTCCACCTGGACCAGGGCCACCTCTCTCCCTGCTCAGCACGGGCGGGAGCCTGGTGCGGGAGATGGGCCCAGGACAGGAGAGAGGGCCTCTGTGTGCCCACGGAGAGATGAGAGAGGGTCAGGGGCCGTGAGTGAAAAGGAGCGCCCGGGGCGTGCGGAGAGGTGGGGCAGGGCACAGCCCTGCCTGCTGACCCTGGGGGTCAGGATCGGAACCAGGACTGGGGCTTTGCCGCCCAGCCCGGCCACCTGCCGCCCTGGGCCCTGGACAGGTTTGCTCACCTTGCAGAATACACACACACACAGGCCTCCTCGGGCCAGCCCCCCCTCCCCCATCCCTCCTGTCTTTACCTGCCCTTGTCCCCAGCATAGCTGCTGCCCGGGGAAGTACCACTCATTTCCCTCCCCCTCCCATAAGCCCCCAAATTCACTCCATCCCTGCCCTGCCCTTCCAGGGCACTCCACTAGCTTCCCAGTTCCATCCCGAGGTCTAAGGCACTCTCTTTGATGGGTGGGGAAACCAGGGCCCCACAGAAGGTAAGACCCCCCTCCCAGTGGAGCTCCCAGTATCCCTTCAAGGCCCCGGGAAGTCGGGGTCCTCCGGGACCCCGATGCCCCACAGCAGGGGCCGGCTCCCCGCCTCTTTGTCCAGCCTCTCTGCTCGCCTCAACCAGCTCTGCCTCCCAGCACAGCCTGCGGCAAGGGCAGGCGGGATGCAGAGGAGCATTCCCACCCCTCCTCCCCCTTGATGGAAATTGCAGCGGGGGGTGAGGTCTCCCTGGCTGTTTCTGCCTGCCCATCCCAGCCCCCCCTGCCCTAAAGGCCCCTAAAGGCCCCAACCATGCCCCACCCCCCCCACCACCAGGGAGCAGGTGGAGGGAAGAAGTGGCCTTGGCAGCCGCTGCCCTGAGCTAGGTACTGGTATAACTGGTTTAGGCCCAGCCTGCAGCTCAGGGCTGGGAGGCCTGGCTACCGCAGAGCACCCAGACCTGCGCCCTGAATCACTCAGCAGGTGAGGGGCAGCTCCGTGACTCAGGGCCCCCAGCCTGGCACCTCGCAGCCGGGGGAGGCCTCCACCACCTCCTCCCCCTGGGGGACTGCGTGCCCCCGGGACGGGCAGCGCCAGCCTGCCTAGCCCACTGCAGCTGAGTCCTGGGCAGGGGAGCCCGGTGGATCAGCTCAGGTGTTTGAGAAACAGGGGCCGCCTGTCAGGCGCTGCTGAGAGTGGGGTCGGGCGGAGCCCAGGCCCGAGGCTGGACTTAGCACGGGCGTCTCCACAGGACCCCCTGCTCCTCTGACCACTGAGGGGCTGCCCCAGAGTCACAGATACCACTGAGCCCGCAGGCCAGCACCCAAGGGCTCTGTCCCCCTAGAGGTGACCCCCCCGGGGGTGCTGCTTATACAAGCCGGGGCTGGGAGCGCCTCCAGCCACAGACCCTAAAGGTCAGGCCAGACTGGGCTCAGTGTCCCTGGCCAGCCTTCCTGGGCGCTAAGCGATCCCAGCCCCATGCCATGCCCAAAGGGCCCTGTGACTCAGTCAGTGCAACCCCCTCTCTATCTGGAGGCCTGGGAAGGCTGGTCCCCCCAGCACTGTACCTCAGCTCCTGGACGAGGGGACGGGAAGCCCTCACCCTGCTGATGGAAGGCTCCCAGTCCAGTGAAAACCCGAGGTTAATGAGCAGACACCGGGGCTGCCCTGAGCGGCTCTGAGGTGACTCAGGGCAGCCAGGCCACCTGCTCCATAGCCTCTTGCCCCGGCTCACCGAGGCCCTGTCGCCTCCCCACCCGGGGGTCGTGCAGGCCCTACAGATGGAGCTTGGTGCATCAGGCCCTCAGGGGTCCACGGACAGGGCGCGAATGGCTGAGACTAGTGGGGCTGGACCTCAGCTTAGACCTGTTGGCTGGACAGGGCTCCAGGAAACCCCGTGCAAAGGCGGAAGGAGCTGGGGACTTGCCTGGGGAGCTGTGTGGGCAGAGGCTCGTGAGCACAGAGGCTGGACAGTGAAGAGTTAGGCCAGACACGGCTTCAGGGCTATTTTCTAGCACTCGAAGCCAGAGGGGGATTGAGTCAGGGCTGGCCCCTCAAGGCATCCATTGCCAAACATGGTGCCACCCACAATGTGGTGGGCCAGGGCTCAGCTAGGACAGGGGGCTTCTCCCCTCAAGCTCAGAACAGGTGGCTGGTGACTCCGGGAGCCCCTCACAGCCAGGCTCCACCTGAAGCTGGGCCCAGCTGACCCCAGGCCCCTCCCTCCAGGAGGGACAGGACCAGGGTGCGCAGGCTGGGAGGCGCTGAGAGGGGCCTTGGCGGGAGCGGTAACCCCCTCCCGGGAGCCCCAGAGCCAGTGGGGAGGGCAGCTCCAGGCTCACGAGGAGTGATCACCTCCAAGCGGCGTGGGAGTCGACGGTGTCAGGCAGAGAGGATGCGTGCACAGAGCTCACACCAGGTGGACAGGTGGACAGGCCTCCCGGCCTCCTGATAAGGTCAAATCGGCAGATTCCAGGCCCTGAGATAAGGATGAAAGGCAGTGTTTGTGGCTGCTGACGTTTGACCAGCGCCCGTGGCAGCCGCGGCCAGCCGTGGCCGGTTCCAGAGGCATCCCCCGGCGGGAAGCAGGCGCCCTGGGAGGGTGGCCGCCTGGAGCCCAGCCCTCACTGGCATCTGAGGAAAGGTGGTCACCCAGCAAGCTAGCCACCAAGAAGGGACAGAGGACTCAGTACCCTGGGTCCAACCCAGGGCTTTCGAGGGTCTCTAGGGTCTGTCTGTTCAGTCTCCCGTCAACCCATCCAACCGAAAATAAGAGTGAGTGAGTGGACAAAGACGTGCAAACCTGCCCGCCTCACGGCCCTCACAGCCCACACCCACTCTGCATTAAGTAGAAACGGTCCAGTGAGCCAGGGGACAGACGGCCCAGAGCCCCACCTGCCTGAGCCGCACCCCAGAGGCCCGGGCTGGAGGCAGCCTCGGGGGTGCGCTGACTGGGGAGGGGCTCCCGAGTTGTGTCTTGGACGCAGAACAGCAGCAAGTGGGGGCAGGAGGTAGGAGGGCGTCCCCGCGGAGAAGACCCCCACTGTGGGCAGTTTCCTCCTATCCCCACTCTCCTTTCTGCTGTCTTGTCCGGGGGAGTCGGAGAGTGATGTGCGTGCAGAAGGACACCCCAACTCCCCGGGCAGCGGGGGCCCCCACAGCCTCCTGGGGTCTTCCAGCAGCCCTGTGCCCCTTCAGTTCACAGGCCGCCCCACACGGGACACGAGAGAGCCCCCCAGAGAAGGGGCCTGGCTCCCAACCACCCACCCCTCACTCGTCACTTGCCTCCCAAAATAACCATCTAAGTAGCCGTCTCTGCTCGAACGCATTTCCGGGGCCTCCGGCAAAGAAAGCTGGTTTTGTCCTTGCCCGGGCAGGCCTGAGCAGTGACGTGTGGGCCTTGGAGGCCACAGTCCTGAAGAAAAGGCCCTTCTCTCTGGCTACCAGGGCTGGGGTGTCCCTGCCGTCTGGGGGAGGGGACTGTGGGGTCCAGACCTGGCCACATCCCTCCCGGGGGGTCCCAGGGTCCTCTGACCCTTCCCACCTGGCTGCCAACGGACACGTCCATTGGTCGGGAACCCGGGCAGCCAGAAAGGCCAAACGTTCCACCTCCTGGGCAGTGGGCATCGGCCGGGGGGCCAGAGACGGGCCTGTGGGGAGGGGCGGGGTTCAGGGCCCGCTGTAGCCCCGACCAGCGGTATGAGCCGCAGCAGGTCCCAGCCCGGGAATGAGGGCAGCCGGGGCCCAGCCTCTATGGTGTGACGTCCCCACGGGCTTCCCTGATCCCATGTGGGGGAGATTCCTGTCCTCACCGGGGCTCCCCGGGGAGCTGTGCATGTGCAGGCGTGTGCACGTGTGGGCACCTGTGTGCACCTGTGCTGGAGTTGGGGCGAGAGAGTCCTCTCTTTGAAGTCCGAGGAGAGTCAAGGGCAGCTCGTGGCTGTCCTGTCTGAGGACACTGATGGAGTGTGGGCCAGGACAGCTGTCATCCATTAGGGCCACAGTCTGGCCCCCGGGGGTCTCAGCAGAGGGTCCCACCCAGGCCCCCCGACCCTGGGGGGCAGATGATGGCCCTGGAGTTGAGCAAGCCCTTCTCAGAGGACAGGGTACCTGCTGCAGAGGAGGGCAGGGCCTCTCAGAGAGGGCCCTTGCAGGATGTGTAGGAGTTTTCTCCGCTGTGGAGGGGCAGGGCCTCTCAGAGAGGGCCCTTGCAGGATGTGTAGGAGTTTTCTCCGCTGTGGAGGGGCAGGGTGTTCTGCCGTGCCCACGCCTGGAGGTCCATGCGGCCTGGCTCAGTAAGAAGCTTCTGTTTCTCTCCTCTCGCCTTCAGGAGGAGACGGTGGCAGCCAGAAGGGCCAGGCCACAGTGCCCTGGCTCCCGGCTGACATGCACGGCCTGCCTGGCGCGGGAGGCCGAGGCCCGCCGTGTGGTCCGGGGGTCACAGGCTGAGTGTCCCTGCGCTGACCTGCGGAGGGGAAGCGCGCCCTCAGAAGTGAAAGCCGAGGGGAGATTCTGAGCCACGGCCTTGGTGGGAGCACGGGCAGGCAGGCAGGCACCCTGAGGGCTGTGTCCTGGGTCTTTAGGGGGCCAAAGGCCCCCCACCCTGCGGCCCAGTCTGCCCAACCCCCTCCTGGAATTGGGGGCTCCTGAGCCCCACTAAGTGCAGGCCTGTCCTCCCCCAGGAGGGCAGGGAGGGCTGAAGGCCCCCAGACACAGGTGGGCCCGCGAGAGGCGGGGGTCCCACAGCCTCCCATGTGGGCGTGTGGGGCTAAGACTCAAAGCCAGGCCCCGGCCCATGGGGCACAGCGGGGCCGGTCTCTCTGGCCGCTCCTGGTGCCCCGGGCATGGTGCCACCTGGCACCCTTCTCAGCCTCCACTCCAGGCGGCCCCTCCACTCCCACCGGGGCAGGGGCCTCAGGCTCTGGGGACTGGGTCTTTCCTCCGGGAGCCTCGGTGTCCTGCTCCCCAGCGTGGGCGGGACCCTTGGCGCTGCCAGGAGTGTCCGGGGGAGTCTGGGAGGCATCCCCCTTGCTGGGTCCTGGTCCCCAAACATGGCCCCCAGGGCTCACAGCACCCTGTCCTTTGGGAGCTTTCTAACCCCTCAACAGGCCAGGAGCCATGCGTCCCCTAGACCGTGGCCGCCCACTCCAGGCCCCTGCCCCTGCCCCTCTGGGGCTCAGCATCCCGCCCCCACGGCCGCCCACCCTCAGAGACCGCAGGGACGGGAGAGTCTGTTCCTTCACGGCCCCTAATGAATGTGCCCTGAGGGTCCATGTCCCGCCCTCCAGACTGAAGCCTGGGGAGGTGTGAGGGGTGCCGTGTGAGCTGAGAACAAGCCGTCAGAGCCCAAGAGCGGCTGAAGGGGCAGGGGGCCCGCGTGCCCTGGGGCCTCAGCCCCGTGTGACCACGAGTGCCGCCCCCAGGATTCAATGTCCGCTCATTGTGGCCCTCGTGGTCACACTCCTGGGAGCCCTCCTCAGCGTCACCTGCATCCCAGCCAGCACCAAGGAGGCCGGCGCCCACGCCGAGACCACCCCGCCAGGTGAGCCTGCCAGGTGAGCCCCGGGAGGTACGCTGGTCCAGATGCACACAAGGTGTGTCCCAGCCGGGATGCCCTGCCGGGTGCACCCTGCCAGACACAGCTGGCCAGCTACAGCCCCCAGGTATGCCCCTTCGGGATGCAGCCAGTGTGAGATGTGAGCCCTCCGACCCCAGCAGCCAACACCCTGGACCTGGGGCCTCACTCACCCCCAGCCCAGCCCTCCCTTCAGGGACACTTTGCCAAGACCACGGCGAGCCAGGGCAGCCATGGCGGCAGGGGCTGTGCCCTGGGCAATGGGCCCGCGGGGCCGGGGGCATTCAGCCACTGTCCGGTGGGCTGATGGCCCCTCTGTGTGCCCCAGGGAAACCCAAGGCCAGCGTGTTTGATCTGAAGGCCATCACCCGCCTTCTGCTGCAGCCGGGCGTCCTGCCGATGTTTCTGGTCAAGGTCATCTGCGGCTTCCCCATAGGTGAGTCCAGGGCCAGGGTGGCCGGGAGTTCCGGGGTCTGCGGCCTGGAGTTCCGGGGTCCACAGCTGGGAGTTCTGGGGGGTCCCCCAGGAGAACCGCCTTCCCTCTGTCTGGCCTCTCATGCTCCAAGCTTCCCCAGGCCCCAGGCTCACATCCGTCCCAGGGAGGGCACGGCCCACCGGTTGGTGCAGGCCTGGCCGCCTGGGCCAGGAGGAGGACAGATGGTGGGTCTCCCCCTGGCCTCAGGCCCCAGTCACCCCTACTTTATGAAAGCTCTCACTGCCCTGCCCAGCGGCTTCGGAGGCCTCTCGGGACAGTCGGGGAGAAGACTGCATCTGCAAGGGGACACACACTCCACCCACCCCTGCATCCCTTCTCGGGAGACCTGACGGTGTCCCTGAGCACAGTCAGGCCCAGGAGTGACCCCTCAGAGCCCGCATCGGGGGTCCTCCAACCCAGGAGCCTTGCAGAGAACACCTGTGAGGCCTCGCTGACAGGCGCTCAGGTGTTCCCACGTGGGCGCTAAAGGGTTAACCCCTCCTCTGCAGAAACGCCCCATCCTTGCCACTGGGGAGCGCCTCCCAGCTCACCTGCCCCCAGGATGCTCGGGGGGCAGGTGATGGGGACCCAGGTCATCGACCTCAGTTCTGGGGCCAAATCCTCCCACCTTGCCCGCCTGGGGCCCCCCAGTCTGCCATCCCCTCACCCCTCCAGATGGCCTTGGGCTCTGCCCACCCTGGGCAAGGGCAACGCCAGGCACCTTCTCACTCACAGCCCATGGCAGCCCCATGGGGCAGACCCTCCAGGGAGGACCTCGGGGAAGGCTCGCGTTGGTCACCGTGGCTAGGCCCCTGGTGCCCTGGCAGGCCAGCTGTCAGGGGGTGCAGAGGGGCACGGCTGCACAGCCCTGACCCCTGACCCCTGGCCCCCCGCCCGCCCAGGGCTCTTCATGGTCATGTTCTCCATCATCTCCATGGACTTCTTCCAGCTGGAGGCCGCCCAGGCCGGCTACCTCATGTCCTTCTTCGGGATCCTCCAGATGGTGAGTGGGTGCCGGACGCACTGGGCATGTGGGCTCCCGGCACTCCCAGGGTCCCAGGGCCTCGCAGACCACCCCCCTGGTTTCTGAGCAGCACAGGAGCCATCCTGCACGCCCACCTTTCAGGTGCTCCGTCCACACCTTAGCTTCCGGCTTGTCCCCCACTCTCCCTGCTCACAGTTCCCACACCTGGGTCTGCACCTGCGTGCCCTCTCTGCCCAAGCCTCCGAGATGGCACTAACGGTACAGGACCAGCCTGCCAACGCAGGAGGCGTAAGAGATGCGGGTTCGATCTCTAAGCTGGGCAGATCCCCTGGAGGAGGGCATGGCAACCCACTCCAGTATCCTTGCCTGGGAAATCCTGTGGACAGAGGAGCCTGGCCGGCTCTGGTCCATAGCGTTGCACAGAGTCGGACACGACTGAAGCGACTTAGCATGCACACATGCGCACTCTCTGCCTATCCATCTGCCCAGGGGGTCCCATCTGAGAGGGGAGAGGGGAGCTTTGTCCATCCAGCTTTGAGGGGGCTGGTGAGCCCTCAGCTTCCCATCAGGAAACACGTCAGAGGCCCATGGCCTCCCAGCATCCACCTGCGTACCAGCGGTGCCAGGCTGGCCGGGGGGCGGGGGAGCCGGCCCCCGTGGGGGGCGCGTGACCAGGAGAAGGGCCGGGCTCTGTGTGCCCCGCACCTGCCCACCGGCGGTGCGACCGTGGCGGGGACAGGTGGCGACGTGCCTGCCGCCCCCCGGGACGTCTGCCTGACAGCCGGCGCGCGGGAGGGGCTATTCTGGGATCTGGCGGGTGGCGGAGAGCGCGCTGAACCTCTCCGGAAGCGGGTGGCGGTCCCAGCACCTCCAGGCCATCTGCTGCCCTAGCCTCTGGGCCCGGGGCTGGGCTGGACCCCGGACTGAAATAGCCATTCCGGGGAGGGGCCGGCCCCCACCCCGCCGTGGGCCTAGCTGCGTGGGCTGGGAAGTACCAGCCTGGTGGGGAAAATAAACAGAAAACAACCATAACATGGATGCTCTGAACTGGGGGCCGCTGGAGGCTTGTTCTAAACGGCCACCCCGGGACGCCCCTGACGGTCCAGTGGTTAGGACCCCCGGCTTCCGCTCTAGGGGCACAGGTTGGGTCCTTGGGTGGGGGAGCTGAGATCCCACACAGGTGTGTGTTGTGGCCAAAAATAAATAAATAACGGTTTTTTTAATTAAAAATTAAAAATATATATATTTTAAATAAGTAGAATGAAGAGCTGCTCCCAGCCCATCGGGGCCCTGAGCTCGTCCTGGGCTCAGGGAGGGCCCGAGACTAGGCCCTGGCTGAAGCCAGCAGACCCCTTGAGACCCCCAGGGACGGACCCTGCTAGCCTCAGGCCTGGCGCGGGGTGAGGGTGGGCCTGCCGAGATGGGCCCGGGGCCCTAGCACCTGTGATGATGGGGTAGACAGGTGGGCGGGGGTAGGGGGAGCCTGGGGACCCTCCCACAGGCCCAGCAAGAAGAGGGGACCGGGCGGGGGGAGCCTGCAGAGCGGCTGGGTGCTGGGCCTCAGGCTGGGGTCAGCTGAGCCCTGAGCCGTGTCTGTAAAGAGGGCTTCGGTCACCTCCCCACCCAGGGTAGGGCTGGTCACCGGGGGTCCGGGGAGGGGAACCCTCTGCTGCTGAAGCTGCCCTGGCAAAGCACTTCCTGCCCCACCCAAGGGGCTCACCGCGTCCCCAGCTCCCTATGTGTGGGGATCCTTGGGGTTGGGGGTCTCAATGAGGACAGCCCAGGTTGTCCTAACCTGGAAGGGATGGCACTCACTCTCCTCCCCGGGGTGGGGAGTGGGGGGTTTGCAGCCCTCTGTCTCTTGAGGACCCTCTTGGGAGGGCCCCCCACTGAGCCCTAGGCCACTGCAGGGATGGAGCTTCTGTCCTGCGGGGGGAACAGAGACAAGCCCCCACAACCTAGGCGTCTGGTGGGTCAGGGGAGACAAAACCCGGAAGGAGAATCAGGGCCCTTGTCAGGGCACAGATGGCTGCTTCGGTGGGGCGGCCAGCCGGCTGGGGGCTCTCCCCCGGCCCAGGTAGAGGCCCGGAGGGAGAGAGCCGCATGCAGGGAGGGTCTGCAGTGCAGAGGCCCTGGGGCGGCTCGGCCGGCCCGGCAGAGGAGACAGGACTGTGCTCTGAAGGCCTGCGTGGGGGGTGGGCCGCAAAGCCAAGAAGGACCTGGATTTATTCAGATGTACTTGCTGTGGGTGGGGCCTTGTGGAGGCCGGGTGTGGTCTTACCAGCTGGCTGCCCCCGCCCCTAGGCTGCATTAGAGCAGGGGTGGGCAGCGGGACTGGGTGCCTGTGACCTTGGGGGAGGCGGTGGCCCCTCGGGCCAGGGCGGCCAGGTGAGTGGCCAGGGTCTCCAGGTGGGAGGATTGGGAGAAAGTGAAATTTCTGACTAACTCTAGTTACTAGTTCACTAACTCTGGTTTCATGTAAGAAGCTGGAAGGCAGGAAAGCTTAGGCTTTTTTTTTTAAGTTAATGGCAAAACGGAGAGCTGACTCCCAGCCCATCAGAGTCCTGGTCTCGGGTCCATATGAAGAGTGGAGACAGATTTCAGTCTCTCTCCTGGTTTGTTGATTTCCTCTGGGGTGTCAAGTACTAAAAGAAACTTGTCAAGTAGATCTTCCCTTTAAACAAACAAAACGAAGATAAGCAAGTGTGAAAGTGGGATTTTTTTTTTGAGGACACCCTTGGCTGTGGTTTGAGACGGTTTCATGATGCCAGGCAGGCAGCGAGGACACTGCTCCCTCCTGGTCCATGGCGCTGGGCCCGCCCCCACCCCAGGTCACACAGCCCAGCCTGGGGTGCCGACCCCCAGCTCCAGCGGGTGCTGCTCCAACCTCACGGTTCCCCCGGGCACTTCCTGCCTGCCTGGTGGAAGAGGCAGGGACCATCTAGGGAGCCTCACCCCGGCCTGGGAACGGCCTGTGGGCTGGGCTTGTCCTCTGAGTCACATCCCAGGTGTCAAGGGTGTCCCCACTCTGGGCTTTTCCTCCCACCCCCATGGGAAGGAGCGGAGGGCAGGAAGGGGAGCTGAACCTTAACCCAGCCCCTGGCTGGCTGACCCTGGGGCTGAGCTGGTGGGGGGCAGTGGGGGACAAGGAGGACGGAGCTGGAGGTGGAGGGCTGAGCAGCAGTGGGGGGGTCTCTGGGGGAGTCTGTGGCCCCTTCCTCTCCTGCCCAGGCTCAGGACAAGCCCACCAGCCTGGGCTCCACCCCACCCTGCTCTGGGGCCCCAGGCCTCAGTTCATCTAGTCGTCATGGGAGTGGCGGCCCCCTGGCCCAGGCCCGGGCCCCAGTGGGTGGTGGCCGAGGCACCTGCCTGCCAGAGCCAGGCCTCGATCGGGCCAGCTGCTGGAGGACCCCACATGGCCACCAGGGCCCTGGGCTCATGTCCCAGTCCAGCCCCCTCCACCCCCCGCCCCCGTGTGCCCTAGCCTCCCCATCTGTGGCAGCTCCCAGCTCCCAAACCACAGAGCCAAGACGGAGCAGAGAGGTGTGGTGGGTCAGGGCACGCGAGTCGGGGGCGGGGGGCTCCCCAGGGCAGGACTCAGGGCCACACCGTGAGCTTTCCACCCTGTAGTCATGGCCTCCCCCATCCATGTCAGGAGTTAGCCAGCCCTTTCAGGGTTTCGCTGGTCGCTCAGACAGGAAAGAATCTGCCTGCGATGCAGGAGGCCCAGGTGTGATCCCTGGATCTGGAAGATCCCCTGGCGAAGGAAATGGCAACCCACTCCAATATTCTTGCCTGGAAAATCCCATGGACAGAGGAGCCTGGGGCAGGCTACAGTCCATGGAGTGGCAAAGAGTCAGACATGACGGAGCGACTAACACTTTCACTTTCATCACACCTGAGACGGCAGAGATGCAATTATTTCTGGATGTGGAACATGTGTGTGCGTGGGTGGTTGCATGTGTGTGCGCGTGTGTGAGATCCCCCAGGCTGCAGGCCCCGTCTCCCCAGAACCTTGAGGCCATCGTGGGAACCACAGGCTCCCCCTCTGCCCTGTGCTTTCTGGCTGCTGGGACTGGTGGCTGGGGCCCAGGGGCCGTGGGTAGCAGGGGAAGCCCCCGAGCCGGCCGCAGCCCAGATGCCCTCGCAGGCCCGGCTGTGCCCACCTCCGCCCTCTCGCTCTCACCCAGGTCATCCAGGGCCTGGTCATCGGGCGGCTGAGCAGCCACTTCTCTGAGAGAGCCCTGCTCCGGGCGAGTGTGCTGGTCTTCAGCGTCGCGGGACTGGCCATGGTGAGAGACCCCCGTCCTGCCACCCCTGCAGAGAGCAGGGGCCCAGGCCCTCTCCCCTGACCCTCCTCAGGTGCCCCGTCTGCACTTGAGCCCTGGGGCTCCCTTGCCCCCAACTCCCACCCAGGACCACCTCAGCGGGACCTCAGGGGATGGACGGCTCCCCCTGGTCACCGTGGCCTCCGCCTGCCTCCCGCCAGGCGCTGATGACCAACGTCTTCCACTTCTGCCTCCTGATGCCCGGCCTGGTCTTCAGCCTGTGTGCTCTCAACGTGGTCACCGACAGCATACTGACCAAGGCTGTCTCAGCCTCAGACACGGGTGAGTGAGGTCCCTGGGTCGGGTGAAGGGCAGGCCCTGGGGGGCTCCCCGGCCCTGCTCTCTGCGGAGCTTGATGAGCAGTTTGGGGCAGAGCAGCTGCCCTGAGTGGGGACCCAGTGGGCACTGGGTGGGATGGGTGGCCAGGGGTCTGAGTGGGCAGGGTGGGGGCGGTGGCCCACAAGAGCGCTCAGGTGAGAATCCTGCCCGCCACCCCACCCAGCCAACCCTGCACCAGGCCCTGCTGATCAGCCCCAGGCCAGCCTGGAGGAAGGGAGGAGGGCTTCCTGGAGGTGGCCTCTGACTTGGCTGAAGTATGCACAGGGTTTCACTAGAAAGGGGGAGGAAAGATGACATCCCAGGCCGGCCCCAGCTGAGCCAGGGTGCGGGGTGAGGCTCAGAAAGGCTGCTGCGGAGGCTGGTTAGGAAGAGGGCCAGGCACAGCGAATGGCCGGAGGCCAGAGGGGGTGGGGCCAGCGCCGGGACACCTCCCGGTCCCTGCCCATGCACACGCAAGTGGCTCCCGAGGGACCAGTGACCGAAGGCTCACAGCCCTCAGCCTAAGAAGGTCCTGGACCGCCCAGCGGGGCTCAGACACCCCCAGACGCAGACCCCAGGCTCCCACTCTGCAGCCTGCCTTCTCTCTGGAGGCTGGGGGGTTTCCAATCTGGACTGGGGCGGGGGGCTGTCCCTGGACCTGATGCTCCCCAGGCTCCCGCTCCCACACTGCCCTGCGCATGGTGCTGGTCAAGGCCAGGGGCTCCTGTGGGCTGGCTGCGATCAAAGGCCTCCCCAACAGCAGGGCCAGAGAGCTCAGGGCCCCAGCTGACCCTCCATCCATCCACCTGCGTGTCTGGGAGGGGCAGACAGATCCAGAGGCTCTGCTGAAAGTGGGGAGGCTGCCAGACAGAGCGTCTCCCCAGGGCTGCCTTGGGAACCCCCAGGGATCCCCAGATCTGCGACTCTGTGGTCTTGGGAGGCTAGACTGGTCCTGGAGGGCTTCCTGGAGGGCTTCCTGGAGGCAGTGAGCCAGCTCTGCCCAGAGGCCAGGAGGAGTAAGGAGGGGAAGACCTGGAGAGATGAGGGCAGGGCCTGCAAGGAAGCGAGAGGAGCGGACCCAGGTGCCAGGGGCACCTCCCCTCAGCTTGGAAGGAGTCAGAGCCGGTTCCCAGCGCCAGCCTGGGAACTGGAGACCACAGAGGGGGCGGTAATTGCTCCGTGGTGTCTGCAGGGCCTGTGGGCGGTGGGAGGGGCTGCTCTGAAATTCCCCCGACGCGGGCCCTGAGCCTGGACGGGGCCTCGCCAGGCCACGCCCACCTGGTCCACGAGGGCGGGGCTTTCCAGACCCTGACAGGAGCCTCTGAGGACCCCAGGACCTCTGAGGTCCCAGGGCCGCCCGCATAGGGCACAGCTGACACGGGGAGGGTAGAGATGGGGGTGCTCAGGTAGAAGGGGTGCAGGCAGCTAGGTGAGCCTGGGGAGCGAGTACAAAGAAGGGGGCGCCCTCTGAGCACCTGAACCTCCTCCCCGGCCCTGTGGGGGTGTTCCCTCCAGTCCACTCAAGGGCAGTAAAGGTCACGGGGGTGACCTGGAGTGTATCGTGGCCCATGTTACACCCTAGCCCAGCGCCCACACGGAGCATCCCCAGTTCTGGGCCGGGCTGGGCTGGGGTGCTGTGTCTCTGGCAGGCTGGGAGGGTGGCAGCTGGCCCATGACCTGGGGCCCTGTTCCCAGGCTCCCCTGTGCTTGGGAGCTCTCTGGAGCAGGGCAGAGGCACCACATCCAGAGGCCGCAGCGCTCCCCACGCGTGGCCTGCAGGGAGCAGACGGGCAGGCAGGCCAGGTGGAGCGAGCTGGGGCGCGGAGCGGGGGACGGGGGGACAGGGAGGCCTGGGCCGTGTCGAGGACGTGGGCCGCCGGCGCAGTGATGCTCAGGGACCGGCCAGGCCTGACTTGACGCACCCTCCACTGCAGGAGCCATGCTGGGCCTCTGCGCCTCTGTGCAGCCGCTGACCCGGACCCTGGGGCCCACCCTGGGCGGCCTCCTCTATCGCAGCTTCGGGGTCCCCATCTTCGGCCACGTGCAGTTCGCCGTCAACTTAGTCGTCCTCCTGGTCCTCTGGAGGCAGCCTGTGTCCCGGAAGATGGACAAAGCCCAGTGACGTTGGCTCCCAGGCAGACTGGCAATAAACTCCCTCGGGACCTCTCGCAGCCTGGTTTCTGAAGGCTCCTGCCTTCAGGGAGTCTAGGGAGGGGGTGGGGTACAGCTTTGGAGGCTGGAGGGCTTCCTGGAGGAGAGGGCCTGCAGCTGGGCCCCAGGGGTCCAGGGAGAGAAGAATCGTCCAAGAGCACCCCAGCATGAGGTGGGTCCCGGCCTTGGAGTCCACCACCCAGGCCAGCAAGGAGTCCTTCCTGCTGCCATCCAGGCGACTCTGCCCACGTCCCCAGAGACAGGGAGCTCTCTGCTCACCCGCAGCCCCAACGCCGACCCCTCGCCAAGCACGCGCTGCGTGCATACCCTCCATAGCCCTTGAAATTGCTTCCACTGGGGAACAGAAAGAGGGCAGGGTCGTTTTTAAAAGGTCAAGCATTTGAGGCTTGGGGAGAGGTCAAAGAGAACCCTCGTTTCATGTTGGGGACCCCAACGGGTAGAGAGCCAGGCCTCCAGGCTTGAGAATCAGTGAGCCGTTCCTCCACCGCCCCCCACCTCCAGCCCAAGTCCTACGGCGAAGGGGCGTCAGACGCAGTGAGGCCTGCCGGCTGCCGTGCCGAGAACCAGTGTGGAGAGGACAACCTTGTTGGGTGTCTGCAGATGCCCTTGAGACCAGGAAGGCCACCCTTCCCCCACAGGCTACTTTTAACAGAAGCTAGTAAACTTGGAATATTCCATGGCCCCTCCTGGAGGAGCCTCCGAGAGCTGAGATCCACACGCGTGCACGCTCTCACTCTCACACACACACAGGCATACACACACGCGCGCGCACACACACACACACACACTCCCAGCCCCAGTGCTCAGGTCAGACCCCACCCCCCACCCCTCACCCCCCACCCCACCCCCCGTGAGCCCCACCAGAACTGGTGAGGCACCGGGGCTCACTCCCTGACTTCCATCATCCACCATAGGCTGTGGAGGGAGAGATCTCCAGGGTGGCTCAGGATGGAGGTGCCCCTGGGTCAGTGGGGGCCCTGGAGCTGGCCTCTCCTCTCCGAAAGAGCCCCCTCCCACTTGCCCTGGGGCCTCAGAGTGTTGTGGAGGAAAACATTCACCGCAGGAACGGTTTCTTCTCTGGACCCAGCACCCAGCCTCCCAGCAGGACTGCCCCACCTCCCAAGCCTGACCCCGGTGACCCAGTGAGTCAGGAGTCCTGTGATAGTGGCCCCCAGCCCAGTCCAGGGTAAGACTGACATTAAAGCCCAGTTGGGGCCCTTCACTCCCCCCGGCTCCGCGTCTCCCACCCCCACACCGGGCTCGCTCCAGCCACAAAGGTGATGTGAAGGTGCCTAGCCAGGCCAGGATCGCTGTCCCGTCTTGTTCTTCCATCCTTGGCTTCTTCATCACCAACAGAACTTCTAGGTGGAGGGACACATCTCCCCTCCCCATCCCAAGGCTTGGGGGGCAACCCTGGACACCCCACTTCTGGAGTTGGAAGGGTGGAAGTTGCCCTCTGGTCAGGGATCTCAGGCCTCCCTCCTGATGACACATCCCAGGCCCCTCGGCGGCCTCAGCCTCCTGCCCAGGGCACAGACCGCTCTCCCGTTTGCCCAGAAGCACTGGCCGCCTCTCTGGCCCCACACATCAGGTATGGGCCAGCAGGGCCTGACAACTGGTCCAGCCCGGGGTGGGGTTAAGAGGGGAGCAGCAGATGGGCAGTCAGAGGCCTGCGGGCTTCCTTTCAGGGATAGGCAGGTGAGCAAGAGGGGGCAGGAGGGGCAGCTGGGGTCAGGCACACAAGAGCCGCTCGGATGGGGAGACACGCGGGCCGCACAGGGCCAGTTGGCCAGCAAGCAGGGTCCTGTCCTCCCCATTCACACCCGGAGTGAGCCAGGGTCCCCGGAGAGCACTCCCCCACCTCGGGAGAGGGTGACCAGGGTCTGGCAGATGACCGTGCGCACTCAAAGCGCGTTTCCTTGCCCTTCCGACACCGGGGGTGACCGCTCCCCCCAACGACACCCACTGAAGGGACCACCGACTCCCCTCCCACAGAAAGCTCACGCATCACACACTGGCTGATAGAAAAGAGAATGAATCGAGCTATTTATTTGGAATGGTGGTGAAATACAAATGCTAAGACGGATGGTTTGTATATGTGGGTACCATTGAAATAAATACATGGACAACTAATAGCCCGCTCAGCGGACTCTGTGAGGCTCAGTGAATCAGCATGGACAGATCATTGTGTGTGAAGTGGAGCAGCACCGGCTAGATGCTTGCCGTGGTCAGCAAGTGGTGCTGTCGGGGTTCCCGTCTCCCTGGGCATCTTCTGGGCTCCCGAAGGTGCGGCCCGCTTGGTCCTGTGGAGAGAGAAGGATTCAGGGAGCTGTGCCCGAGCCTGGGGGCTGAGACAGCCGGGGTCCAGCCTGTTGGTCTCCCGAGGCCCCTACACCGAAGGTGCAAGTGACATCTCCTGCCGCGCGCCCGAGGCGCGCCGCGATGGCGCGGCACCCAGTCCCCTCTCGACACCTAGACGGGGCAGGACCTCCCCCCCGACGTCCTCCCCCAGGACCGCGTGCAGCCGGCGAGCGGGCGGCAGGCACTCACCGCGGCGGGGCTTAGGACTGGCCGGCCGGCTCGGTCTCGGGCTCCTGCTCCGCGGCGGCGGCTCCCGCGGCGGCTCCGGCGGCGGCCGCGGCAGCAGCGGCGGCCGCGGCCGCAGCGCGCTCGCGGCGGCTGCGGAAGTCCTGCAGGGCGCGGCGGTTCTGAAAGTCGATGAGCGCCAGCGTGATGGACGCGTTCCAGTAGCTCTCGCCCGCGCAGCGGAAGTCGATCTCCTTGCGGTCGGTGGTGACGATGGTGAAGTAGACGTACTTGCCGGTGCGCTCCACGCAGTCCACCTTGAGGATGGAGTGGAAACGCAGCTCCTTGGGGCGCGCGCCCGGGCCGGTGGGGAACAGCCGCAGGCGGTCGGTGGTGAGCACGCCGCGCTTCTTCTTCCACACCTGGAACAGGCTGTCGCTTCGCTTCTCCAGCTCGCCTTCTCTCAGCACCTCTCCGGAGCTCCTCATGTTCGCCAGCTTGACAGTTGGAGGGAGACGACGCTCGAGCGACGGATGGCAGGACGAGCAATGCGCTCTGGTGCTCTTGCGGCGTGGGAGCCGGCTTTATAGGGGCCGCTCCTGGCCCGCTCCGCCCCCCCCCACCCCGGGCACGCCCCCTCCCGGCCCCGCCCCCCGCCTTCCTCCCCCTCCCCGGCCCCCACCCCACCCGCCGCGGTAGCCCCGGGGCTGCACAAGGCATCCTAGCCCCGGGCCACCCGAGGTCATCCCAGTCCACGTGTCTGCAGCCTGCGCCCCTCTCCCTCGATTCCCCGGCGCTCCAGCAACGCCCCCAGCCCGGTGGGGGGCGACTGACGGTCCTCACCTCGCCTCAGACGCCGGCCCCGCGGAGGAATGCGCGGCGGCCGGCTCTGCCCGCTGTGCCTCACTGCCCGGGAGACCCAGGCAAGCGCCCGCAGCCCGGGCCGGCCCAGGGCCCGGTCTGGGGAGGGTTGATGGCGGGGCCCAGACCCCCACCTTACAGGCGCCCCGACACGCAGCGCAGGGCTCGTGGGCAGAGGCAGTGGTCGCCCCGTTCCTCCCACGTCCGGGGGTCCCTCCTGGGGAGACCCTCCAGGGGCTCTTCCCCAGCCGGGCTGAACTCCCACCTTGCCGCCCGCCCGCCCTCTCCTCCTTGGTTTGGGCCAGCGGGAGAGCAGGCGTCAGGAGCTTCAGTTTTCACTCCTGTTAAGAGACGACAGCCACTTGTTAGACTTGGCAACCCGCGGAAAGTGCTAGAGCAGCCCCGTAGTGTCCAGTAAGCGTGAGGGCAGGCGAGGCTGCTCCAGCTCCCTTCCTGGGTCAGCCCCCCTCCTGGGCCCTCCAGGGCTCTCCACTGTGGGGGAGGGAGGGCACACGGGGACCTGCCGGGGGGCCTGGGAGTCTAGGGGGTGGGAAAGGGGTTGGTGCCTCCCTGGGGAGGGGGTCGGCCTGGGCTAGGGTGGGGGTGGCGGAGTCATGGCCTGTCAGCCAGACTAGTCTTATTTACCCTCGTCCTTTAAAGGGTTTAACAGGAGCAGGAAGTGATTGCTAGCTCCTGCCGGGTCCCAGGGGTGGGGCTCCAGCCGACAGAGGGGATCTGATCTGTGGGGTCCCCACCTGCTCCAGGGCCGCCACTTTCAAAACAGCCTACCTGGCTATGACCTGGGCAGGTACTGCCAAGCGAAGGGAGCAAGGTGAGCTGAATCCTGTTGGGTGTGACAGCCACCCCACCTCCTGGTGCAAAGTGGAAACGCAGGTACTCTGGTTCAAAAAGGATTAATAACCTTTTCAAGGCAGCAAAGGCGGAGCATGAAGCCAAATGTGGGACCTCCTGGGTGCAGGCCCGCCCTGAGCCAGCTGGCCCTCCGCCACCTGCCCTGGCTCCGCCTCCTGGTCCCAGCGCGGGCCCTGCAGGGTCACCGTGAGGAATAAGGGGCGCCACTGGCTGGCTCAGATGGGCGGCTCGGGCCAGGCCTGAGTGGATGGACAGGGGTGTGGAAGGGCAGGGCAGCTGAGAGGTGGGGTTGGGCCCAGGATTCTGGCCGGTGGAAGGGAGCAGAGAGAAAGCACGTGGACCGGTGGTCAGGCTGCGGCCGCGAAGGGGAGCAGGAATCGGCAGGCTCGCGGAGCAGGGGAGCGGGCCGAGGATGAAGCAAGCACAGGGTGTGTGGGGGGCGGGGAGACACATCTCCCCTCAAGATAGCACAGGGCAGAGTTGTAAGGGGCGAGCTCCCCATCGCTGAGAGCATCCCAGCAGACCTGGTAATGGTGAGACTGCTGACCCTCCTTCCCCAGGTTCTGTGTCCTGGGCTGTTGGGGGATGCAGGGAGGCAGACCAGGGCCGAGCTCTCCACCACTGCCTCTAGGGAGCCACTGTGAGCTGGCTGGGTGCCTGGCACCCTGCCTGGACCCCTCTGAGGCCCTC